CCTCCTGGGCAGGCGGGAATCGAACTCATGAGGAAGTGGCTTTAGCTTCTCAGTGCTGTGCTTTAACCCGCTGCGCCACAAGGGAGGGCCAGCAGGGACATATATATTTTAAGATTTGATTTATTTATGCATACAGAACTGGGGTACAAGCCAGAGGTGGTGAGAGGATTCACCAGAGTAGGGAGCAGAACAGGCTGACTGACTAAAGTACACGGCTGAGGGGTGAGACAGGAGAGTTCTGCCAAGCCACGTGGGTCACCTTCCCAGGTGTGGGATCGAACTCACACTGAGGCTGCTGCAGCCAGCTTTGCAGTGCTTTAGCCCCTTGTGCCACCAGGGATGGTCTAGCAGTGATACTTTTGAAAGGAGTTTTTATCTCGATCAGTAGGTCTCAACATTGGCTGAAAATATTGAGTAAATGGGGGGCCTCCCTGGTGGCCTAGGGATTAAGTCTCAGAGCTGTCACTACTGCTGCCTGAGTTCGATCCCCAGCCGGGTTGCTGAAGCACATGGCACAGCACAGCAGACTTCTCCCATCTCCCCGCTGCTCCCCTCAGCAGTGTCCTTCAGTCGATCCACCGGTTCTGCTCCCCGCTCTGTCTCTGGGGAATCCTTTTTCCTCCCTCCCCCACCCACTACACCTTTGACCTACACCCTAGTCTTCTCCACACACGAAAGAAGAAGAAAGAAAAGAAAGTATTCAGTGGATGATGTGTGAACAGATGTGCTGTCGTCCAGGCTTCGAGCAGAGTAGCCAGCACGCCTCTTCAGGGGGTTTTCAGCAAGAGGAGTGAGCATTGGCTTCCACTCAGTCACCTGCCGCATTCGCCCCTCACAGGAGAGTCCCGACCACGCGGCTTTCGGCCGACCTTGCTGGCTCCCTCAGAGGAGTCCTGTCAACCTTCAGGGGTGGCTGGAAGGAAGCAGAGGCCCTTCCTCAGTGTTCTGTCCTACACTGGCTCACATTTCCCATATGCATATGATTATCTTTTTAGGGAAAAAAATTGGGTGAGAAATGTCCTTTGCAGCCAGTGCTTCAGGAGGCTGGAGAGGAGGGTCTGAGGGGACGAGCCCCCGGCCCCTCACCCCCCACAGCTGCAGCCACAGGTGCTCTCTCTTTGCAGCTCTCCTGCCTTTCTCAGCGCCCACGGTGAGTCAGCTGTGGCGGCCAGGGATCGGGGAGGAGGGTGAGGCCCACCGTCTCTGACTGGTCCGGAGAGACTGCCCGAGAGGCGGTTATACATCCCACCCTGCCCCCCACTTCTCCAGCCAGGCATCGGCTTCTGGAAGCTTCATGGTGTCACAGGGCAGTCTCCAGGGGGATGCTTAGCCTGGAGATCGCTCGGTGAAGACGGGCTTCCTGCTCCCTGAGCCAGCCTGTCCCTGGGGGTCTGGAATTGCACCCCTGCCCCGGGTCATGCCTCTGGCTCTCGCAGCGTCCTCACGTGGGAGTGGGCCCCCCTCGTCCACGCTTGCGCTGCATCCCCGGTCCCTTGCTGCCCTGCTTGGTGGCAGGTCTTAGGGGAGGGACTTCTGGGGGACTCTGGGCCCAGCAGGTGTTCCTTCACCATGACTTGTCCACCTCCCACAGTCCACCGCGTCCATACCCCGCTGTCCCTTCCCAGCTCCCGGGGTGCGGTGCTCCCATCTGCCTCTCACCCAAGGGGTCCTTCTAACGCAGACTGGTCCCTCCATGAACACTTACAACTGCCTTGTTTCCTTCAAAGGTATTTTTGTCACTACTGTCAACAAGAAATCTGAAATCCATGATTTTACCTCAGGTAGTGATGACTTTTTTTTTTTTTTGCGATTACTAAATTCTGTTGTGCCTGAAACCCAAATGTGATGACTCCGTCTCTGCTTTCTGCAGGCTTCCTTCTATTCCTACTCCACGGCATTCAACATGGTCAATGGGAACGCCAGCTATGTGAGTCTGGTGGGGGCTGCAGCTTCGGGGGGGGGGTCTGGGGAGGTGCTGGCCTGTACTGTCCCTACTGACCTGTGTTTTGGTTTATTTTAAAGATTTTAGTTTTTTTTATGCATACAAGAATTGGGGGTTAGGCCAGAGGTGCAAGGGGTGAGGATTCACCAGAGACATAGTGCGGGCAGAACAGGTGGATGGACTGAAATCCACTGCTGAGGGGCCGTGGGGGGGGCGTGGCCTGCTGCACCACGTGGGTCACTCCCTGGCCAGGGATCCAACGCGTGCTGCAGTGGCTGTGGACAGCTTCATCATGCTGCACTTTATCCCCTTGGGCCACCTGGGAGGTTTTGGCTAAATACAGAATTTTTTGTTTTTCCTTAGAATCGTCGCCCACTTGAGAGTATATTACTCGGGGCAGGCGTAATTGCTTCTTCGACCTTTTTTGGAGTGAGTATTCTTAAAATTGTTTCTGTTCTTCAGAACCTAAAAGGCTATATTTGCTCTGGTTAAAATTTATGTTTCCACAATTAAATTTGTTAAGACAAAAGTCACCTATTATCCTGTCACCCCCAGATAATCACGTGGACAGTCCAACTTTCTAGGCATTGACTCAATTCTATTCTTTTAAAAATTAATTTATGACGTATAAACACATTATACAGATTGCGTGTTGCTTTGGATGTCGGAACCCTGTCATGGCTAAAAACAGAGATTTGGGGCTCAGGCGGGTCTGGGTTTGCATCCTGGATAAATCATGCGGCCTCTCAGGGCTCTGTGTGTAGCCACCGTGCAGACACAGTGGGCTCCCGGCCACCCCCTGTCAGGAGAATGAGCCCTGCCCATTAGAGCGAGTCACACCAGTGTTTCGGTTCCAGTGCACATAAGACTGTCGCACTGTGCTGTCACCTAGCGTGTCTGGATACCTTCATGTCACACCTGAACGAAGGCTCACTGCTAAAAACGCTAACGGTCACCTGAGCCCCCGCGGGGTAACCTTCGTGCTGTGGAGGGCCTTGTGAGGAAAGCCTCTCCTCACAGTGCATGCGAGGGGTGCCCCATGTGGCCGGGACAGCAGTGTGGACCCCTGGGCGTGGCCTGCGTCAGGGCGAGCGTGGCCTGCGTCAGGGCGAGCGTGGCCTGCGTCAGGGCGAGCGTGGCCTGCGTCAGGGCGAGCGTGG